CGAAGAGGAAACTCAAAGATTTACTAATTAAATACAATGAAATGAAGGTACATGTAGTCTATGGTCTTAAAGTGTGGGAAGGAAAAAAAAAATCAAATTTCACCATGTATGTTAGAGACATAGATAAAACTGAGCTGTATCAATTCTAGTTAGTATCCCAATATATTTTCACAATTTCTACCAAAATAAAACATTTTTTAAAACAATTTTCAATTGGATTTTGTGTCCAGATGCCTTCAAGTGTTTTGTTTCCTGCTGCAAGATGATACGGGCACTGGATACCAGATGAAGCTCTCAATATGCCTTTGTATAAAATTACCCTCCAGACCCGTTTTGAAGCTTTTAAAAATACTGTGCTATGATAAACATTTTGTTTTACATGGTTCTCCCAAATGAAAAGTAAAAAATAAACCTAAACACAGCTACTGTTTTCCCACTGAGAAATTCTAAATCTGACCTCTGCCCGGCACACCACTGCTGCCCTTTTGCTTTCTGTTTGTGCAACACTGGCACAGTGCTAAAATGAAGTGTGGACAAAGGTTTGGTTATGGGAGATAAGTGCTAGTATCAGTGAAAGAGCAGTGTGACTGTGCATCAAGATGGTTAGTGTTAGCATTAGACGAAACATTGGAGAGATTGAGCCATCCATGTTTGTGCCTCAGTCAGACCCAGACTCAGATGAGGAGTCTGTTGTGCACCAAAAACGATGACTAGCAAAGGTATCAGAATGGTAAGTGTAGTTAGCATCTTTAATTTTTCATGCTTTTTTCAGATTTTTATATTACCTCTACTCAGAGGTAGAGCTGGTCGTCCACCAATCGGAAGATCGGCAGTATCCTTGGGCAAGATACTGAACCCCAAATTGCTCCCGATGGCTGTTCCAACGGTGTGTGAACGGCTACTGAGAAGCAGGTGGCACCATGTATGGTAGCCTCAACCACCAGTCAGATTGTTTGTGGGTGAATGTGACGTAGTAGAAAAATGCTTTTAGTGTTCGGAAGACCTGAAAGGTGCTATGCAAGTAGAGTCCATTTACCACTTTACCATATAAGTCCACTCTGTGCTGGAGATTTCAGGTTTCTTTGTGTGGTGTCCAAGTCTGCCGCCCTGTCTGTGTGTTTCCTTCTTTTCAATGTTTATTAGACAGTGATTGGCTTTTGAATTTGTGACGTACCCTCTCCAGCTTGCCTGGTGTATGTTTACATCTCTTCAAACCTTGCGCAGACACAAGTCAGTGTAGTGAAATTTAGACATTTTAGGGAACATAAACATAACAAAACAAATTTTGAAACAAAGGGATCTTTAAAGAAAGTGAAGAGAAAATCGGTAAGGAAACAGTCTTCTGATCATTTGATAGAGTCGCTCTAATCACGTAACTTAAAAAATAAAAGGTCAATGAAACATTAACGCTCCCCATATGTACTTTTCAAACAAGATTTTCCCATGGGATTGATGTCAGCGTCAAAAGGAAGCTCAGAGATCAAATTTGAATGTGTAATTTTGACCCTACACTGCAGCTCCACCATCACATCAGTTATGCTAATTACTTGATGAAAAATGCAAATAAACATCATCCGTCAAATAATTTGTCATATCATTATGTCTGTGATCTGTGAGGGACAAAAATGATATCAGTCTCTCTCTAACACAAGCACAAAGTTAACTGCAAAGGACAACAAACTCACAAACAACAAAAAAGTATGTTTGGAGGTAAACAGGACAGTGTCTGTGTTTGATACCTTAAATTGCACCTCATTCCCTTTGTGAGCGATCAATAAAGCTGACAGAGAGATGAGGATTCACTCGCCATCATCCAGGGCTGTTTTATTCCATTTAAAAACAGAGACATGCACAAACAGGTGTCATTTAGGAGCTGATATGTATTTCACATTAGTATGGACCTGGTGTCTTCCAGCCCTCCTCAGAATAACCGTATAAACAGGCATACATGCACGTATAATTTTCTTATTAGAGGAACAATAGCTGATGTTTTAGACTGCGTTGCTTGTCATTCCACGGGGTTTGGAAATAACTTCTCCATTGTTGTTGTAACCATTACTCAAGGATGACTTATTTCTCTATCCTGTGTCAGACTATTGAGTCTGAACAGAATAATAAGAAAATGAGCAGGTGAAAATTAAAGTATTTATAGAAGAGAATATGGGCTCAAAACCATTAGGCAGATTTGGTTGATTTGCATTAAAGCCCAGGCTCTTTTATATTTTGATGAGTCATATTATGTGCCTGTCTGTGTGTGTGTGTGTGTGTGTGTGTGTGTGTGTGTGTGTGTGTGTGTCTGTGTGTGTGTCTGTGTGTGTCTGTGTCTGCCCACATTAATAACACATTTGAGGTAAGATCTAGAAAGTCAGGCCAGCATCTCAGCATAGATATTTTATTAGGATTCACAGCCACTTCTTTTTTTCTCATTATATTCTGTCTGTCTGTCATGTTTTTAAGAACTTTTGTTTTTGACATTACTGCTAGAGAAATGTCAATGCTGTCTAATAACTTGGGCTTTTAATCAGATATCTTCACACAGTATTTCAGACGTTAACTGTCCTCATTTTTAATTTTGTAACATCATTTTAAAAGATAATGGGGAGCAAAGGTCGCCATGAAAAATGTGTTTTGTAATGTGTGTTGCGTAGACATCCAGCATACCATTGCAAAAATACTTCAGAGTTCTGTGGTTCAGCTAAGAGTCTTGAAAAGTGTGTCATGGTAGTTTTTTCATGAGACAGTCAATGGTATCTTGCATGGGTGGGACAAAGTTGTTGTTTTGCAAATTACAAGTATGTCATAAGTTGCTGTGGAGACCCACATCAAGAATGACAAGTTCCAAGTCAAGTCTCAAGTCTTAAATTTGAGTTTTGAGTCCTAAACAAGTCATAATGCACTCTTCACCAAATCTAATGATATTTTAACAACAGAGTAAAAATATATCAATTTTTTTAAACAAGTGTGTTCATTGGCTTTTTAATATACTACAAATTTTACATCAAAAACAACAACAGAAAACAAATAGGGTATAAAATAGAACATTACCCGTAAGGCATCAACTGCTATGACAGGGCAACACAGTGAGTACTTTTGCAAGGTTCAAAATAGATAATCAAAAATGCTGCCTATACAAGTATTGACAGTCTAAAGGAAAGAAAGGGGAAAAATAAATGCACATAACTATGGTGCATTCAAGAGATTAAGACAGGTAGACTTCTGAAACCTTCTCCCCCTCTAGAAACGTCATAAAACGTCCCTGTATCTTATCAAATGTAGAATATTTACCATTAATTGTAAAAGTAAGTTTTTCTAGGGCAACAGAGTGTGACTTTCCAGTAAGCCAGGTTTGTAAACTTGGTCTCATAGTGTATTTCCAGAATCTGGCTATGGCGTGTTTGGCTTGTAGAATAATATGTTAACACGGATGCTTTTTAAAATATGCACTTACTTGTTGAAACAAGTTTGTTGGAAATCGTTGCGTCTCTGTCTGTGATTTTCGACCTGCAAGTTTTCCATACTGCGTTTTATTTTTTACTATATATAAAGATGAACGACGCATCTCCGCATACCCCACTGCAGAGAAGTGAATCTAAAATATCCCCAACAAGGCCGCTACCATTTTGCTCTGGTGACTTCATTTGGAGCTAGAGTCTGCTCAGTAGTGATCTCCACGGTATCATCTTTCCTGCCCATACACCTATCCAAACAGTCACAAGCAGCACCACTAAATGCTAACCCACTGATTGGCTCACACAGTTGTCAGTCATGTTGTAAAATCCATTTTTTACAGCATTAAATTACTAAATAAGACTAAACTTATTTTAAAAACGAACAGTTGAACATACAGCAGCATGATCTTTGGAGACAATTTATTTGATGTGTACTTTGAGTTTTTGTTTGGTCCACGACCCATCCATTAACATAAAGAGGGTGGCTTTATGACCTATACACTCAACATCTATTGCACGTCTTTCCATACTGGAAGAGGGATCCCTCCTTAGTTGCTCTTCCTGAGGTCTCTCCCACCCCCCAGTTCGGGGTTCAGTATCTTGCCCAAGGATACTTCAATATGCGGATTGGAGGAGCCGGTCAAACCGCCGATCTCCCGACTGGTGGATGACCCGCTCTACCTCCTGAGACACAGCCGCCCGCAAGCTATTGGGCTTTATAAATAAAACTGAATTGACTACTACAACCAGCCACCAGCGGCTGATCAAGATGTTTCGGCTTCAGTTTTGGGGAGCTGTCATGATGTTCATTTTTATTTACAGTGTATGATTTTTTTGTAGACCACCGCATAGTTTTTGCACACGGATGAAATTATCTTTGCTAACATTTTTCCAACTGGCGCTTCGTAACCTCATATTCCCTCATAGTTCTCTCCTGTAGCTTGACTATATGCTGTTGGATTGGTTTCAAACAAAGCTGATTTGGGGAAATAAGTGTCGAATTGCTGGGAATAAATTGCGTTAATGTAGGTGATTCAGGAAATAAAGGTAAATTAATTGATTTGTGGCACATATATTAAATAACATACTTTTTAATCTTTGGGCTTGGGGTAAGGTATCAAGCCAAGTCATTGGTTTTAAAGTCCAAGTTGAGTTGAAAGTCTCATTTGATTTTGTCAAGAACAGTCTAAAGTCATCAAATCTGTGACAGTCCAAGTCATGTGACTTGAGTCTAAACCTCCATTACATTCAATCTAGTAACATGGTTTCATAGCCTGTTTCAGTAAAACGAACAATCAGCATGTCAGAAGGTCAGATGTTGAAAGGCAAAAATTGCAGCATACGGAACATTTCATGACTCAGTGACATTGATTAGAAAGCTCTGTCAGATCCCTGCAGATATGCTCAAATAATGGTTATTTTCTACTACTAGGAAGCAAAATCTTTTCACCTTTAACATGCCTTTAAGATACAGATCACTGTGTTTGACAACAGCTGATTGTACACTGCTGTGTCATCTCATCTAATGTGTTTTCTGTTGTCATGTTTTAGGGCTCAACGCTCTGCCCTTTGACCCAACATCCAACAACGACCCTCTCCACTTCAACAGCTCCAATGGGCCGCTCATGTCAGAGTGTCCTTCTCTGGAAAACACTGCTGAAAACAGCAAGAAAAGGAAAAGGACCAGCCTGCCTCCAGGTACTGACAGTGCTACCTCTCTATAGTAACATCATGACACAAAAGAATAAAGAAACCTGTCCTTTCTGGCTTTTCAGTAATGCCCCAATAGTATTATGTGTTGTGCTACACAGACCCTACCTGGAATTACACTGTCCCACTTTGTCTGGTTGTGTGTTTCCTGATGGAATGTAATTTAAATGCTACCAGCATCAAATAACTGCTGGTGAGATATAAACTTTAATCCTGTTATTTTGAGACAGTCTGAAAGAGGTAGCCTTGTTTGGTCTTTGCTGTTTTTGATTAGTTCGTTGTAGCCTGCGGTGCTGCTTGTCTGGACCGTTTGGAGGTCACCCGGCTAAAACCAGGAAGCTGCACTTCGGAGATTTCACGTCCGCCTGCCTCTCACCATGCCAACAGACCCGCCAATCAAAACCTCACATGCCCCCAGCTCTCACACATATACTGACCTGCTATGCCCAAAATACTGTGGCAATGTCTTTATGTGTGCATGCATGCACTGTAATCTCTGCCTGTGTGTGTGTGCAAAAGCTCACCCAATGAGCCTAATTTTAATCAGGGCTAGTGTGTTTTCTAATTAAAGGAGGGCTTTCTAATTAATTGCATTATGAGCAGTAGAAAGAAGAGGGCCCTTAAGACAGAGAGGTGTTGCTCCATGTTTTCATCTGTTGGGGTGACACTAATTGGTCTGGATTTACAATCTGGCAGAGATACACAGGGGCTCCAAATTAACTAATATCAGCACTTGCAGGGCACAGCTTACTCACTGGTGGTGCTCATCGTCAAACATGGCCCGTGGAACCTCGCACTAGCCGGCTAAATGGCTCATTTTTCTCCTGCCAAATACAGTCGCCAACAATTCCATCAAAGATCTGTGTGTGCTTTGTGCTGTTATAGATTTAATTCCCAGAGGTAGTGATAAGGTAGTCCACCTGGAAAGAATCTGCACACGACCCATCTTTCTTTAAGTCTCCCCGCTGGCTAGTGTTACCAATTATATAAGGTAAATAATATTTCTCCCCTGTCAACAACGGCACTGACCCTCCGAGGGCCATTCCTTTAAAGCTTGAACAAACATAGGTTTAGGCAGCTGAGATTGCCTTTCAGTGCAAAATTATACCTTGTCTCTCCATAATGATGGAGATAGAAAAGAGCTGATGAATATATCTATTATATTGCTGAACATGTCCAGGGTGTGTCCAGGGTGTACCGTGCCTCTCACCAAGTGCATGCTGGGATTTGCCTTCTTGCACACGCAAGCAGTAAGCAACTTTAAAACAAAGATGATGGATAAACATTAAAGACAGTTTTCACATTACTTAAGATTGGTTAATATGGATAAATCCTGTATAATATCATAATATTGATTTATATATGTGTGGTGTGGATACATTGTTAATGGATATAATAACCAAAGGGAAATATCTGTTTCTGGCTAATCCAGAAATTTAGTTACTTAACATGCTAAGTCAAGTACATTGTACTTATATAGTGTAGCCCAATATCACAGGTTGCAAAATTAACCCTGCTGGCTTCATAGTCTGTATAGCATACAACACCCTCTTCAGTGTTCTTCAGGCCAAGGACTCCTTAGCTCAAAGAGAGACGGAGCAGGGACCCCCTTCTACATATATTGTATAAAACTGAGGTGCACTTGAGATAATTCTCTGAATATTTTCCAGTCTTCTTTTGATTGCAGTTTGCCTTAGTTGCTAAGCAGATGTAGCGAGGCTAGGTGTGTTAGCTTTACGCTGTCCACTCTGGCAGGGGGTTTCTGAGGCGGACGGTGTGTCAAGAGTCTCTTGCTTGAAAAGTTACAAAATTATCCATAGTGGCTCACAAAAATGTCCGTACATTTGGAATAATAATGCAGTTAATTGACCAGTATATTTCAACCAAACTAGTTCCTTCCCATTATGAATAGGTGCCACGGAGTGAAGAAAAAAAAAGTGACGCATGGTGATTTAGCATTAGCTAGCCGATTGCATTAGGTGGGTAACAGATAGCTTGTTATTAATGTTGTATACTGTAAATTAAATAGGTTTTATGAATAGGTCAGCTTTTCGTCATTAATAATATGTTGGATTAATGTCTGTGTATTTTCAGACACCTTTTAATGAAATTTGGTGACCCCCTGCAGTAATTCAGAGGCACCATTAGGGGCCCACCCTTTAAGAAACAGGCCTCAGGCCCTTGCTTTAGGGCTGTCATATTCTACAGGTTAGAAAGAGAGGATGGAGAAGGCAACAATGGAGAAGTTGTGAGAAACTGGAGGGAAAACAAAAGTGCAGTAGTCTTATAAATTATTAGGTGGTCTATACTTAATTAATAAAAAATTTAAAAAGTATCTGTAAAAACAGAACACAAGCTTGCAGGTAGTCGATGTAATATGTGATTTTGCTACGTTTTTCTTCCATTATGTGTTGTGCAACATCCTTTGTCGATGACACATCCTTGATTACGGTGGTTCTGTGCAAAACTGGTGGAAATTCAAGCTGGTTTTCTGAAAAGCCCTGAGGTTCCAGGAATCCTGAATGGAATTCAAGAATTGAGGTTAAATGGAAATATGTCAGTGTTTGTGTCTTTTTGTTGCAAGCTAATTTAGTCATTGGGTTGAATCAGCTGAATCTATAAGAGTCTGAGGAGGGCTCATCTAAAGCAGAAGAGTTGTGTTATTGTGCTGCTGCAGTGGAAAGTCAAACATGGTAAAATGCAGAGGATTTTGCAAACAACAGACAGGTTTTCACACAGATATGTGAACAGTGTTACAGAGGGCAGATTTGGAGTCATGGGTTCCATCTAGGGCTGCGTGACATGAGAAGTGTCCTCAGCTCTGCCTTTCTGCTGCTTTCAGTATCGTGTGAAAATACAACAACGTGCTTGATGAATATTAAGAGTAAAGGAAATTATTTCCAACATTCTTCTATTGAACAAAGTGAACATTAAACTGAACACAAAAGGCATTTTTTTAAGGTATTTTAAAGTGCAGTGTTCATAAAAAAAAGGATATACTGTGCAGCCCTAGTTCCATCAATATGATTGGAATCATCAGTGGGGTTTTGGCAGGTTCCCAGGAAGGGCAGGGCATGTCTGGGAGAACCTGGCAGTGCATTCTGGAGTTGTGTTTTTAGAAGAAAGCAGTGAACATATGCGCAAAGCACAAAGCAAACATGACAATCACATGTACTTGAATGACATTTCCCTCCACGCCTGGATAAGTTGCACCAGGTAGTTTGAATAACTCCTATCAACTAGTCTCTTTTTAATCTAATTTTGTGACCTGTAAATCTACACCTGCTGCAGAGGTGTACAAACTTTGGCATCCCTCAGTCAAACGTAGAGTTGGTCGTGCCTGGCCGTTCTGCAGCTCCTGTTTGTCTTTTACCACTTTTTGTGTAGGACTCAAAATCATGTTTTTCAGATGCGAGGCTACTATCTTCCATCCAGGTGCTGCTGTTGTCATTTTGTCACACTCTGATAATACAACCAATGGTGCCTTAACATGAGTAAACTCAGCTTTTTCTCAGTTTTTATCATTTTTGTCTTCTTGTTTCAATGTCCTCTCCTTTCCACATCCTGTCACTGCTTTGTTCAGGAAACTGAATTTGGAGGAGACGTACACCTGCCGCAACGAACCCAGTGAAAATAAATAAAAGAAAAGGTGCAGCAGGCACGTTCAGAAAAGCGACCTTTGTGACAACAGCCTCAATGGGCATAAAAAGCAGAGTCCCAGAGTTACAGTACGGCATGACTCATCAAAATTTGTGTATAGAGGAAAACAGATGAGCTTAGCATGGTTTTCACATTTATTTATTTTTTCCTTTTTTATAGACACCATCTTGTTATTCATCAACTACAGTGTCCTCTGGAAGACTTCACTAAAGCACTGTCACTGTACTGACTTTCCTCAAAACCACAAACAGACAGCTGGATATAAATGAAGTCCATTTTGTATATAGTGTGGCTTCAATGAAAAGATGTGTGTGTGTGTGTGTGTGTGTGTGTGTGTGTGTGTGTGTGTGTGTGTGTGTGTGTGTGTGTGTGGTCTGCTCAGATTAAAGCCTGTCAGAAAGCCTTAAGATCAAAGCCTTTGTGGAGCTCAAATCTGATCTGTCACTGGAAAAGCCACCCAGCTTTTTTCCCCTTCCATCTTAGAGATAGAGAGCAAAGTCACTTATCCATTATTTTTCTCTCTGTCAGTTCGTCAAGTTATGAACAATGTTATAATACACTATTATAATGAAGGTGCCATTAAAGCAGGATAAGTGCACAACTATCATGATCACTCCTCTCGCTGCAGTTCCTCGCAGCTTCTAGGAAAACCAACAGGAAACCTTACAGGGAAATGGATTTCATGTCCATTTAATGTAAAGCACTTACAGTTGACCTATATTAGAGTGTGCTATATATATTCAAGACTGTCTTGCCTCCAAAAATGGAAAATAAGGATGATTACCAAACAAAACAACCCTCCTACCACATACATTGATTTTCAGTAATTGTGCAATCATGCTTTACTCTTCAAGCCTGCGTTCATAGCAAAGCTGCTGGTTGACTTGGATGCACAATTGTACATTTCTTAAACATCTAATGTTAATTTTTTATACAGTATGTCAAAATCTAGATTTTAAATGTGTGAGGGTAGACTCGAGCGTGAGATGGGTCAGCGGTTTGGTGCAGCATCTGCAGTGATGAGGGCTTTGAGCCAGAAGGCAAAGCTTTCGATTTACTGGTCCATCTACGTCCCAACCCTCACCTATGGTCATGAGCTCTGGGTAGTGACCGAAAGAATGAGGTTGTGGATACAAGCGGCCGAAATGAATTTCCTCCGTGGGGTGGCTGGGCTCAGCCTTAGAGATAGGTTAAGGAGCTCAGACATCTGGAGAGAGCTCGGAGTAGAGCTGCTGCTCCTTTGCGTCAGAAGGGGTCAGTTGAGGTGGTTTGGGCATCTGATCAGGATGCCTCCTGGGCGCTTCCAGTTAGAGGTGTTACGGGCACAT